TAAGGCCCAATCCATCAACACTGAAATTTTACTGTAATTGGGTAAACATAAATTAATGTAATTTTTATAAAATATTTTTTTTTCCCGATTAACCTAGATATCCTACTTGCTATGCAAGTCGACTAATCTCAGAACGACCACCTGCTTTGCAGGTAGTCTGGAGTTACTGCATTTGAACATCCGTGGCTATAAGGAGATTTTTAACTACATTTTTTGTTCACATATAAAAATACATATATTTGTGTTCACGTAATGGAAAAAAAGTATACGTTGAAGTTTTTTCTTTTGTTCACATGGTGAAAAAAAGTACATGTAGAACTTTTTTTTTGGTTCACACAGTGAAATGAAAAATACATGTTAAACTTTTTACATGGTGAAATAAATACTTGTGAAGTTATCATATTATGAAACAAATATATGTGATCAAGAGTTCAATGATAAGCGTAATTCATAGGGTGTGAGTGAGATTAAAAGTGATCAAAATTTTAGATCTCTTTTTACGCTTCTCACCTTTATATGACCATTTGTTTTGTTTCATATGTTTTCGGTTCATAATGTGAAACTTATACCTTTTATTTTACAAAAATGTCAAAAAAAGATAAAATTATAAACCGAGTACATGTAAAACAAACACATTGTAAAACAAATGTATGTTATTTTTTACATTAAATTCTAAACATAGATAAAAAAAATCATATGAAATAACATTACTATCTGTGTTTTCAAAAGAATTTTTAAAAGTAGATTCCTATTAAACTAAAATTTAAATAGAAGAGTAAATTATGTTTTTAGTCTATTTTCGTCTTTATATTTTTTGAAATTTCAATTTTCATCCATATGGTTTATAATAATTACGTTTTCTGTCCTTATGATTTAAAATATATGGTTTTTTTCATCTTTATGGTTTATAATTCATTTCTATTTTAGTTGTTCATACTTAAAAAGTAGTGTTTTAGCCTTATGGTCGAAAATAGAAATGAATTGCATATCATAAGGACGAAAATCAAAATTTCAAAACTACAAGGACTAAATCAGCAAACGTTTACAAATCATAGGGACGAAAAATGTACTTTAAATAGAAATATGTTTTGCATGTAACTTGCCATTTTCTGAATCGACATGGATGGAACAAAACATATAAAAGTCAAAAACTACTTTGTTGACCAGCTTTTTCTTCTATGCGTTCACAAGATATACACTTTATTTTCAATAATTCATTTTCTGAATAAAAATATTTATATATCAACGTGTTAAAATTACTTATAATAATTACATTTATTTTTTAATAATCTATATTTATACTATATTATTATAAAATATTTGATAAAAACTTTTAAAAATCATTTTTATGCATGTATATCGTTGCATATTACTTAAAATTCAAGATTACAAGTAAATTATGCATAAGTATAACTTATTAAAGCTTCATGTTTTAATTCGTATAACTAACTGCAGATAAATATAATCAAATACAGGATAAACATTTCATTTTAAATATAAAAAATCTAAAACATAATTAGAATAATCATTGAGTTCTAACATAATACTTAATTTTTATCTTTATAAAATGT